ACTTCTGGTCTTAATGATATAGCCAGGATCCACAACCATGGCTCTAAAACATCGTGTGGGGATCAGTTGATTTAGATGACAGAAAAGAGTTTTGTGTTTTGTTTTACCAGTCTTTCAAGGCTTGATGTGGTTTCTTTTCCCCATAGCTTGAACATATTGATGTCAAAATAGATTGCCTTTGTTGATATTACTTTGTTGTTTATTGCAGAAAATCTGCAAGTCTAGATTGTGCAAGGTGCGCATAACACAATTAGAAACAGCTATGACCAATGTTCTCAGATTGTGAAAGGTGCTTTTCACATGCGAAAAACAAGGTTGTGCCTGATTTTCTTTGCTTAATCTTTGTTCTGCACATCTTATTACACTTTTCTATCTTTATGTTGTTATAGCCTTTGAAATTCCAATATTTGCTTCATTTTGAACTTGCTACTATGAATCTAAATCCTTTTACAGGTTTCAATAATGAAGATGTTGGATCATCCAAACTTGCTAGTTATGAAACTAAACCCTTTTACATGTTTCATCCAAACTGAAGAATATATATTTGCTTCAATATTTGCTAGTTATCCTACTAAGGATGTGGTGTTTGAATTTTGAACGCTGTCATGCATAATAGCTTTATCTGTACTATTACTATATATAAATTGCTTGATCAAACTGGAGATTTTATTAAACCAAACCAGATACAAACAGAAACAAACAGCAGCAGCATAGCCATTCACAGCAGAGGAAACTCTTGGCTTAAAACCAATCTCCACAAACAGGACATAAGGATTGGGCAGATTCATCCCAACCGTCAGAAGCAGAGCACAACCCTTCCATACATCGTTCTCTCTGCTCCTTCAATCTCTATGCAAGGAGCTTCTGATGCTCTGCATTTGCCCTTTCAATTCTCTTATTTTTCTCTGCAATTTCTCAGCAAGTCCTGTTCCCTTCCTCTGCAACGTTAATGGAGTCATCAAAAGATTTCTACTTTCGCCAATAATTCAATAACAAAATATTTTTACCAAAACGATCATTATAAATTATAGATATTGAAGCAGTTTAAATAAGAATTTTAATTGAGGAACTTTAAATTTGAATATTAATAAAGAAAAGTGAAAGATGAGGTTTATAAGATGAGACATAGCAAGTAGCATTCATTCATCTTCTCAATATAGATATTTATTTATTTATTTTTAAAGGCAATTTTTTTATCATTATTTAGTTGATTCAATTTTCTTTTCACAAATTCCTATTAAGATTGCATAAATACTGTTGTATAATCTTCAACCTGCTAAAACAAATGAAGACATTAGTTTCGCAACGAGGACTTAACTAATTATGTTATATCATCTCAAAATGGTAACACCAATAAATTCCTTCATTAACGATATAAATGGATGTGCGTATTTTATATGTACTTATATGGAGCATGAAAATAATTAATGTTACTATTTTTTGCTTTGAAAACTT